ACACACACACACGGTGTACCTTAGCCGTTATGTCCCTGAGAGTGTGTCGTACGCCGTACCTAGCTCGTGTAGTTCGCGTGGTGTTAACAACAAGATTCTTCTCTTCCCGTCCAAGTCACGTCAGGATGCGAGCTCAGTCTTTCAGGTCCAGTGTCTTACATGATGTCGCGTCACGCACATGCGTCATGTTTATGTTTGCGTTAACTTTGTACCTTCGATGGTTCATTCTTGGTCAGAGTACTTGATGTAGTTCGGTGTTTAACATTATCGTGTTTTACTCCTTTCAAGCGGTACGTAGGGATATCATCTCACATTCTTGGCGCGCATTTAGGGGCTCATCCCCAAGTTCCAGGTGGAACTCATCTTTGTGACACAACCTTAATAATGACGTATTCGACATTAAATGCATTCATTGATCTCGGAGTAAGTTCACCCTTCGTGAGTCGTAAACCAAAAATCTTCAACGGCACAGTTGAGATTAAACTGATTCATTATTGGTTCATTAAAGTGATTCTTCAACTTTTATTTTAGTCATACTAACGAGAGTAAGTGGGGTGTTCTACTAACTTCACCACTATCCCTATCGGCTTCTCCAATACCTGCTATGTAGACATTGTAATGGATACCAAGCCCTTCCACGGTGCGTTTACTAACAGATAATCCCATCTCTACATGTCGATGTTGTAACTTCTTTCGAGTCTGCTTTATTTGGTTCATCTTGTCTGCAAGGTACGTGTTGGGGACTTGTCGTACGGTCCAAAACAAATTAAAAATTTATAAATAACCTTAGCTAACTCCCAAGATATAATAAAACAAAAACTATAGCTAGGGCAAGTAAGAGTCGATCCCACGGAGAAAGTTTGTACTTTTTAAAACCAATTAGCATGCAAACACGTTGTCACTAAAAAAATTAACTACTACACATATGATAAAACTTATAACTAAATAAATATAAAAACATATAAATATAACTTATATAAACAAAGAACTTATAATATAACTTATAGACTCAAAACAAATACTAAAGTATATAAAAGTAAATAAAGTATAAAAACTTATATTTATAACTTAAAACACAAAGGGGGGGGTTGTTGGATGAAAAGTAAATATTTTTTTGGTTTTTATATTTTCTTTTTTTTTATTTTTTTGATAAAATGGGGGAAAACAAGCTCTAAAGATAATCAACTCCTCCAACAAAGGTAACCCAAAAAACACCGCCAAGAACCCGAAAAAAAATGAAAGAGAGAACAAACACAAGTTGAACATTACACGTATAATAGGCACGTAGACAATATATCACGTAACTTACGCACTTAAGAATAGAAAAGAATTCAAAGGCTTGAGTTGATTCATTTCCTTGACCACATATAGAGGATCGTCAACTCTCTATAAGACCCGGAGTCAAGAATTCAAAGGCCTTTTGGATCACTTTGAACCCCCACTCACCTCAAGCGCTCAAACAATGATTCCAAAAGATGAAAAAGTTATAAAAGAGCGAATCTTTCTTTCATTCTAACTCCCATGCACAAAGTATTCATGAAAAACATTTGATACACTTTAATAAACTTTAACGTCTAATGATGAAAATATTTTGCAGGTCTCCTTGAACAACTCAAACATAAGAATTGTAATCTATTCACATAAAAGAACATTACATCTTTTCAAAAACTTAAAAATTGTTTTTGTGCTTAAACAACTTTAAATTTTATGAAAATCAACACAAAACAAACGAACAACATAACAATCACTTCATAACGAATCTTAAGGAAAATGTCCAACTTATGGGCTAAGAAGTCCATAATCCTTAAAATTTTACAAAACACATAGCACAACGAAGAATCACGTATGAATTCGGAAATCATTTAACTATAATATGGAGCTAAAATAGCTTCAATGAAAACCAAATTCTACATACCAACCTACTTATGAAATCAAACCGTGCGATTCAACCAATTCAACAACAATTTGCACAACAATTGAAGAAAACTAGTTCGAATCAATTCTCATTCATAAGGGATTTAATATAGACATTAAAAACCCATAAAATGTAAAAATGTAAAAATGAATTCGAACAACACTTTTACAAAGAATTGGAAAAAATTGAAGAAATAACATATAGGGTTACCAATTGTTGAAGAAGATGAAATTGAAGAATTGGAACTGTGTGGCGACCGCTCACCGGGACTGCTGTGGCTGCCAGTTTTGCGTCTGCCGGCCGTCTACCACCGCCGCCCCGGCTAGGCCACGGCTCTCTGGTCGTGTTCTCCTCCGTTTCCCTCCCCTTCTGTTCTTCTTGTGAATCTCCAATTTATAGAATGGAAGAGCCAAATTCTTCTCATTGGAGAATTGAATGACGAAATTGATGGCCGATCATTGGAGAAGAGGCGAGAGACGTTGAAGCGTTACACTTCCGCCTGTTGCGCGATGGAGAAGGAGAAGCCGATTCTCCATTTCTTTTTTTTCCTTTGGTGCATTGAATGAAATGAGGAGAGGAGCGCTGGGCTGGGTTTGTTGTTGATGATGGTTTGGGCTTCGGCCCAAATGAAGTCTTTTTTTTTCCAAACTTGATCTTCAATTTGGTCTTTTGCTACGCTTTTCTCCACAAAATAAGATATCTGATAATTTTGGGTTAGGAAAAATAAAATAAAAATAATAAAATGTAAAAAAAATGATTAAAAAGCTATGATGTTTTGAAAGAAAATTAAAATATTGTAAAAATAAGAATTAAAATAAAACTAAGCAAAACAACTAAAAACTAAACTCTAAAAGTATTAAAAATACATAAAAAAGAATAAAAAGAACTAACCCAAAAACGAATTATCAAATACCCCCACACTTAAGACTTGAACGTCCTCGTTCAAAAAACCAAACAGAAAACAAACTTTTTATCATCATAAAGAAAAACGAAATGCACCTTACACCCTCACTCCTAAGACTTTATGCCCAAAAAAATTTTTTTGAAAACAAAGTGAGCTAAAAATCCTACAAGATGGAGAACTAAAAAAATGGATATATGGGTTCTATAAAATGCTCTAAAGTTGCCACAAAAAAGTTTCTAAGGAAATCCTATGGTTCAAAAAGGCTCAATGGCAACGGTAGCAATGATTTGAAAGATAAGCCTAAAAGATTAACAATTTTCTAAAAATAAAATATTCCTAAAACTAGTTCTTTGTTCAGATTTTAATATCAAGCAAAGTGATTAAACAGCATCTAGATAATATGAGGATGGCCAGTTCTAGAAAAAAATCTAAAGGATACCTAGAAGTATTTTAAACTGTTTAAGGTCATTTTACCAAGAAAATGGGCACAAGACTCAAGGCGAGTTTACAAAGTAACATATGTTATCTTTTAGAATAAAGCACAAGAAAAAAAATGAGGTTTATGGGTCAATTTTAAAAGCAATGCTCTAAATAAAAAGATATGCAACTAAGAATAACAAAATATTTGGACCCAAAACCCATTTTGAAGAGAAAAAATTTTTCCCAAAAATATGTTGGACAATGTGCTATCATGAATATATATTTTTGCAATGTCCTTTGCCCATTGTCTTTTAGGTTTTGATAATGACAAAAGGGTGACAAAACATCATCATAATTTTGTGCATCAAGGCTAAGAATCAAAGCTACAACAAGTTCATATCCGCCCGTGAAGAAGGGACTTGAGCATCGGTGGAAGGAACGAGACCGAAGAGGTTGTTTCCTTAGTTGGGTAGTGTTTTAGGTCTTAGATTTTGTGTTAAAGAGTATGGCATCTCTAAGGTTCATTCCCTTATCATCCTACCTTTAAAACACATTTTTTTCAGCAAACTATTCGAATAAATTGAAAACTATTCGACTAAATCCCTGAAATTCTATTCTGACTTGGTTGATCAAATCCAGAACTAGTTGAATAAGTCAGATTGCAGTTTCACCAAAACTAGTCGACTAAGTCTTGACTTAGTCGAATAGTTCGACAGTTTCAACTACCAAACGGCTAGTTTTTTGAATGCTTTTCATCCCTATCCACTCCCTAACTTCTATAAACTACCCTATCTCGTGTTTTTGGCCAAGTATATACATTGAAAACATTTCAAAACATATCCTTTGAATATCCAAAGAGATTCTACTCAATCCCCTCCTTATATCCAAGCAAGGCAATTGTTTTGATTGCTAAATCATTTCTTGCTTGAGTTTTTCCTCATTGCTTGAGTCTTTGAGAGATATTGCCATATTCTAAAGGACTTCATTGTATTTGCAACAATCTACTCCGTGTTGGGAGAATTACTCGGTTGCGGTTTATTTTCTTACTTTATTGTAAGGGATTTGTATTCTTGGTGTTGGGATTACACCAAGTGATAGAAATCCTAACGGTTTGTGAAATCAAACGTTAGGTGGAAGAAATCCTGAGTTTTGTGAAATCAAAACTTCGGTGGTAAGATAAGAGGCTTGTGAAATCAAGTTCTCGAGTTGTATTCGGATTGTCAAACTCCGTTAAGTTTGACGAAGTTAGTGGAATCTCGGGCACGTTTGCTTCGGGGACTGGATGTAGGCATTAGGCCGAACCAGGATACATCGTGTGTTGCTTCTTCTCTTCATCTTTGTGTTCTTGTGGTTGATATACTCCTGCGAATTTTCGTTCTTCCAAAAGTTTTGATTTTTGAAGAATACCTCTATTCACCCCCCCTCTAGAGGTGCGTAAGTTGTTTAACAAAATATACTCCCCAAAACAACGGAATAAATATGATAACCTCCCCCCACACTTAAATTATGCATAGTCCCCAATGCATCTATATGATATGCAAATAATCAACAACAAATAATGATATAGCACAGAGAGGAGCCAAGAGATGAGGAAGGGATGGGGAGATTCAACTAAAGGGGGAAAGATGGGAAGGAGAATGCAAATTTAAAAAAAAGTATACGCGGCATCAGTTCATTGCTTTCCCTTCCGTATTGTGCTCGATGGACCTAAAATCTGCAAAGAGAAGGCTAGGACCAAGTATTTAGCATTGAAGAACAAAAACTTAATTTTTTTTTTCATTTTAGCACATATAATCTGTGAAAAGTGTAGAATTTGCATTCTGCACTCGAAAAAACAGCTTACAAAGTGCATATTTTCCAATTTATAGCCCAAAAATCATATTGAGAAGTGCAAAGTTTTTTCATTAGTACCCAAAATTCAACCTTAAAAGTGCAGAATTTTTCAATTTTCAGCCCATAAATAACAAGTATGAACACAGTAGGCTTAAGAAAACTGAAAATTAATAGCATACCAACACCCGGGAACTTAGAATTTCTCTTTCAAATCAAATTTGCACCTAACATTGTAACTTGTCGCTACCAGTTTAGATCAGCTTATTGCATCTTTTCTGCAGATTTTTTACTTCAAATACAGATGCTTCCACCTAAAACTCAATAAATCTTGCAAAATCTCTTGAAGTAGATGGTTAGAAGCATAAGTAAAAAGACATTTAAGCTCAACAAGATCACTCTTTTTATTTTGATTTTATACTTTTTTTTGTTTTTCAAAAGCTAAATGAAAGAGAAAGAGGAAAAAAAACTAATCCTATAATTACAACAAGTACGTACTATTACATCAATACGGAAAAAAAATAAGAAAAATAAGTTGGTTATTAAAAGAAAGAAAAAAATCTAATTAACGACCACAAGGGGAAAAAAGTACAACTACAAGTTAAAGTTAGAAGTAAGCATAAAAAACTCAAAGAAAAATTTAAAAAATGCTATAAAAGTAAGTGAGTTTTGTTAAAAAG